AGTCTACTCCAGTAACGGTGGTACTTACGTTACATCCCCCTGTCTTATAGAATCACATATCTGTAACACTGAATCTCAGTCTACTCCAGTAACGGTGGTACTTACGTTACATCCCCCTTTCTTATAGAATCACATACATGCATCTGTAACACTGAATCCCAGTCTACTCCAGTAACGGTGGTACCTACGTTACATCCCCCTGTCTTAAAGAATAACATATCTGTAACACTGAATCTCAGTCTACTTCAGTAGCGGTGGTACTTACGTTACATCCCCCTGTCATATAGAATCACATATCTGTAACACTGAATCTCAGTCTACTTCAGTAACGGTGTTACTTACGTTACATCCCCCTGTCTTATAGAATAACATATCTGTAACCCTGAATCTCAGTCTACTTCAGTAGCGGTGGTACTTACGTTACATCCCCCCGTCTTATAGAATAACATATCTGTAACACTGAATCTCAGTCTACTCCAGTAATGGTGGTACTTACGTTACATCCCCCTGTCTTATAGAATCACATATCTATACCACTGAATCCCAGTCTACTCCAGTAACGGTGGTACCTACGTTACATCCCCCTTTCTTAAAGAATAACATATCTGTAACACTGAATCTCAGTCTACTCCAGTAATGGTGGTACTTACGTTACATCCCCCTGTCTTATAGAATCACATATCTGTAACACTGAATCCCAGTCTACTCCAGGAACGGTGGTACTTACGTTACATCCCCCTTTCTTATAGAATCACATATCTGTAACACTGAATCTCAGTCTATTTCAGTAGCGGTGGTACTTACGTTACATCCCCCCGTCTCATAGAATAACACATCTGTAACACTGAATCCCAGTCTACTCCAGGAACGGTGGTACTTACGTTACATCCCCCTGTCTTATAGAATCACATATCTGTAACACTGAATCCCAGTCTGGCTCCAATAACAGCTGACTGGTTGCTTTCTCTGAAACGAAAGGAGATATTTAATACTGGCAGCAAACACCAAGTTTACCAAAGTAATTACAGAGGTACTATCCTTAATCAATTTTCAATAGAGGTTATAATGTATAGATGTGGTCATTAAAACACATTATTAAGCAATATCTGTTTTATAAACTTAATTTCATGGTGTATCTGTTGCCTTAGCGTTTCAATCTTCCTTTCAAAGAAAAAGAAGTATTACAGGTTTGATAGTCTACAGTCTATTTTCTAAATTTCTTTCTATTATATGTCCACACAATCCACAGGATCTCAATGATATTGGTTGGTAAAAACAAACTAAGGTTCATTGGTATAATGATTTTGATTAATAGGACCAGGTAACTATATATGGTCCCAAGCTTAAAGATAGCTCAATTGTTAAGAGGGTTCGTTTAGGGTTTGGAGATTTTCTTTTCAAATTTTAGTCTGGACCAGTTACATTTCATTTTCATTTCAGTGATGCATTTGACAAATCCTTGTTTGATGAAAAGTGTGTGCTCTTGGCAAGAAAGTACTTGAACCTGTATAGTAAAAAATGTCAATTTTGGTGGCGTAGACTTAGAAAAGGGAAAGTCAGCAGACATTTGTCATTTTACTGAAAGCTACTTTAATTTGGTACTGTCTGAACTTGTGTTTGTATTTCTTATTTTGGTTGTCAGTCACCTATGAAAATCAAAACGTAGATTGAAGCCTTGATAATTAACAGACATTGTTAATTATAATTACACGAATAACATGCTGGTAATTGTGGTCCATTGTTCACGTTTCACACCTATACGTAGTTCACATCCCCACGGGTAAATCTACCCGCAGGGCAGAGTGCGTTGATCAGGGTGTCGATCGTAGAGAACAATAGAAAGCTAAGTCTAATGAGGGTGAGTCTAATTGGAAAGGGGAAAAGAGGTTAGGCCTATCATGATTTGTGAGAACTTGTCACTTGATGTGTAACGGTCAAATGCATGCGTAATGGTAAAATGGTGATGCGTAGTGGCTAAAAATTCATGTGTAGTGGTACCGTTAGGCTAGACAGCCTGGGGAGAACACTGAAGGAAGTGTGTATCAATCAGTACATTGCTGTACTGGTCGGGTGACTACCTGTGACTAGACACCACAATTAGTTAGATCATTCCTCTAGGGTACAGAGGTATTAAAGTTTGAATCCCAGTCAGGATTTGTTACCTTTTTCCTTTTCAGTGTTACAATGTAGTTTTGTAGTAAATATAACTTTTACAACACAATAACCTTGCACTTTGCTTATCTTTCTAAATTTTTACTAATCAATGTCAACAAGCTCCTGTGGTTTAACAATATATCAGAACTAACAATACTCAAAGAAATGTGATGACATGGTGTTCTAATTAAGCTATACATTGTACCATTCAATTATTTTATCATTGTAACAGGTGTGGACACAAGCTAACACTTCATTCACAATCTATGTATTGAGGGAGGAGGAGGAGGACCAAATTGAATCAGAATATCCAAAACTTATCACTTTCCATAAAAATACTTTTCTATCTATTAACTGTATCAACAGTTCATGTTTTACAATACATTTAGCTTTCAAATGCATAGTCTTGCAACTCTTTTCTCTTCAGATATGAATTCACAAGTTCAAATACATACTGTAGCATCAGATGACATATTTTCAACTAAAAAATCAGTTATTTGTTTGTTATACAATGTATTCACAATGGCATGTGCAGCCACTTTGTCTTGTGTTTTGGACAATGAGAATAAATTCAGGCCATAGAAATACTTTAATTCATACAAGTTCAGAGATCATTATAAAATGCTGAAATACCAGCAAAGATATATTTTTTTCATTTGCAAAAAGCTGGCATCTGCAAAACACTGGATCCTTTGACAAGTTGGGCATGTACACATCTCTGCATATATGGGAACCTGGTCATTTGGGTAACAGAAGACTACAGTTGATGTAACCACTTACAGTAACATTTTTATAACTGAAATAGGCAATAAGTGAAATGGAAAACACAAACATTTTTTAAACATTAGGACCAAAAACAGGATGTCATTCTTTCAACAAAATCCAATTAATAACAAAATAAGCACATTTGTACGAAAAAGGTAGCAATTCTGATGACTAACTTCTTGTCAAAATGAAAAACAATATCACTAGCTTATTTCTCTATTGACTTCAGTGTGTTTTCCTTGGGAGCATTCAGAGCAAATGTGACAGGTGAGCATTTTTTTCTTCTTCTATAGACCTTTATAGCTACTCTGAAACACAATGTAAGAAATGGAGGAGATACAATTTTGTCATTTGCACGAAAACTTAACTGAATTAACATATTTTTATACACAATTGTACCTCATCGTATTATTAATTGGATTATGTTGAAAGAATAACACCCTTTTTGTTCATTATATTGAAAGGATCGAACTTTATGTGTTTACTTCATCAATAACATTGCTACTCTAAACAGCTACTGTAAGTGACATTGGCCAGTGTTAGTGACATTGGCCAGTGTTAGTGACATGCTTGACATCCTAAATAAGCCTTGCTGATGGGCATAAGGATGTCTGCCTAACGCATGTGTCAAAAATCACCTCTAATATTAATATTGTACCAGGTGTCAAAAGAAAAATACCTGACAAAACAGTTTCGACAGACATGAAACACTCGCTCTTTTTCCTATCACACGCCACATTGTAGAACACTCAAGACTGTTGCAAATACTCTTCTTTTCCAATAACTGTCCCAGACTGGAATAATAGAATCTCTCAACCCCTTGGGAATCTCAACCAGAGGGGAAAGATTCTTATGTTTGGCAACTTAAGAATCTTTCCCCAAGGGATGAGATTCCCCTATATAGCTATCTTACCTACAAGGGGGTGAATGATTCTTTTTCTCTTACCCTGTTCTCCCAATGTGTATCATATACACAATGTAATGATAACATTACATGCTAAATTCAGGGTTGACGTGGATGGATTGTTGACGTGACATCATTGTATTGTTGAAGTGACGTCATTGTATTGTTGAAGTGACGTCATGACATTGTTATGAGTAGGGGAATCCCCCCGTCTCAACCCTAGGGTGAGACGGGGAAATCTCACACCGGTAAAAGTGCAGATACACCTGTCCAGGGTAAGAGAACAATTAACCTCCTACCAGATCTGGCCTTGTCTCATCTGTAACTTTGGAAACCTTTTAAATTTCGTCTCTACTACACAAAATTAGGTCTGTTCTCAATCTTTTTTCCTGTACATGTACATTAAAAACAACCCAAACATCAATATGATCTTCAATATGATGAAGTAGGTGGATTAACAGGGAGAAGTAGAAGATACCCAAATACAGCATTATTATCTATATGCAGGGTTGTGCCCAACCTGTTTGATATATATAAATCATAAACCAAATGAATGTAATTCATTCTCTTGATTTTCAATCAATGAATAAAAGGATGGCTTAATGTATTCTTTTTTGATACCCTCATCACACAGTTTCTGTTATATTTAAAATCTTCATGATTATAATACATAAAAAAATCAAGAGAATTTAATATATGAGCTGAACGCCTTCAGGACTACTCACTGAAGTTTGTTGGAACAATCAGGAAACACTTCCTGATATAAGGGAAGGGGGTTACAATATAATGGTGTTCTTTGAGCGTTCACTCAACAACTTAATAGTACATAACAAATTAAATCATAAATATTATGTAAACAGCATGGCATAAAAACATCCATCAGACACCAGTCTTCTCTTATCTAGAAATAGATTTATACACAGGAAGATATTGATTTTCTCTTGAACAAATGTTGAAGCAGATTTCAACAATTAAAATATTTAAGAGAGACCTATCGCTGCACACTGATTACCAATTACCTAAATACTTGTCAAACTGTGAGCTTCTTGAGAACATCTTTCACTGCTTGGTGTCTGTTGTCATAAATAGACTAAAATTATGCGAATGACTCAAGTTCAAGTTCACAGTCTCGTGAATATGGCGCAGCTTAAATCATAGAAAATAATACTTCCGGAAAGTTTTCTCAATGTCTAATATTCAATATTTACCTTTAAATTTTGTTAAAAAGAAAGATAAATTATCTTTCTAGTGCATTGTGCTAATTGTATACATGATTTGTACTTAACAAGATGATTATATTTCTAACGATCTAAGGGGCTGACATCGCGAGGAAAACATTCCGGCTTAATGTTGGAAAATAGAAATGCAAGCTGTTCGTGGAAAACTACCTCCAATATGAGTATTTACTGCTGACAGATAGCTACTTACTTTTCTACTGAACAGTTTTCAGAATGTGCCTCCTTTTGGGACCGCAAGGTGCTGGTAAAACGCTGTTGCTGAGGAGACTCCATACCTATCGTATCCTTATATCAGTCGTGGTGTCACCAGTTTTGACGAACATTTTTTCGACCATGGAATTTCTTTTGTTGATATCCTTAACTTCCAAGTCAAATTATTTATTGTTGCAAAACAAAATTATATGACAATAGACAAAGTCTTTATTAGTGTTGCTTATGCAAATTTATACGAGTCCCCTTTCACAGGTATCCTCGTGTTACCGGTTTCCGCGCACTTAAGAAACAACCGCAATTTCGTACCGGCAGAAAACTGTTGAAATAAGGATGACTGTCATAAACATGTATACAGTCTACTAATGGAAACAAAATACTAGCAACATAAAACTGCATTTAAAAAATATCAGAACAAACAATTTTTAACAAATTTCTCCCCTCGAAAGTAGCCGTCATGTTTCCGTGTGTCTATTTTGATTAAGTATTCAAAGAAAGATAACTCGAATACATTAAAAAGAAAATCTCTACAGTGACCGGCAAATAAAATATCTTTTGTCGTCAAATTGATTATCAAAACATTTTATATCGGTTTTGGTTGATGGTAAGTTATTTCTCATTTTGTTCTGTTAAAAATTGGAAGTTCATTGCACAAAAAGGTTTACGTTTCATTGAAAACACTGTTTATCGATATAAAAATATCTCCTTGGCTCTTCGAAAGGGGAAAAAATCGGGAGGAATTGTGGCCTCATTTGCATACAACATTTTCATAGGTGTGTCAGACTACAAGAAAGACTGATTCATGAATAAAAAACATATCACCGTTTTTCATGTATGGGTTCATTTTGAGCAAGATAAAAAGTGCATTAAGCAAAACTGCATATTTATGCATATTTTTTAATCAGTGATCAATTCTTATGTTTTCCGTACGAACTTAAGGTCATTTTTGTGTCAGTTTACAGACGATGGCCAAACGTCTAAAATATCATTGTGCTGTGTCTAGCAGGTCACATAGTTATGAGATATAGCTTGATTAAATGGTTGCGCGGAAATACATAACGTGCAAAAACATATGACTAGACGATACTAGCCTAGCCCGAGTTTCCTCTGGCCCTGACACCCGGTCACCCTTAAAAGCGTCTTCAAGTGACAACAAGCGTCGCCAGACAAAATCTTTAAAAATACAGAATAAATTAAGCGACATCAGAAGATATGTTTTAAATATGACTATAATACACCTCTATACCAAATTTCAATTTGATATTTGAAAAATTGACTAAGTTATGATGAATTGAAATTTACGATCTGCAGCGTGGCACGTGTGTGTATTAACCTGTACAGTTAAGAAAGCGTCACCGGACAAAATCTTTGAAAATACTTACTAAAGTAAGCGACATCAGAGGATATGTTATTGATATGACTTTCATGTACCTATATACCGAATTTCAGCTAGATACTTGAAAAAACGACCGAGTAATGATAAATTTAATTTTTACGATCGGCGCTGTGACACACGTGTGAATTGAACTCCGCTGATCATGAAGCGTCTTTAGACTTTACCTGTAAGATTAACCTTTAAAGAAAGCGACATCAGAAGATGTTTGACATAGTAATGAAGATTTGATTTTTTTTACGATTACCGTCGTTACACACGTGTGTAAAGAAATCTATAGATTGTGAAGCGTTATTTGATCAAATGACAGAGTTATTGTGATGTATTTAAGTTTTATGAATACACATATGAAGCTCTTGGCATGTCACATATGTGTACATGTACACGTAGGACTTCGATCGTATAGCTGAACACGGCCAGCCTGGATCATATTGCTGTATAAACATTGTTTCACTGACATGCAGTGATGGTATAATCAATTACGTTAAAAATGAGTCAGCTATATTACTATTTAAACAAGATGTTGCCCTTAAAAAGATCAGTTTATGCATAGTCTATGACAATATAACACAAAAAAAGTTTATTGAATTGATATTTGATATAAAATCCATTACTGTCTCGCAAACGATTGATGAGTCGTATAGAACATGTATAGAAACATAAATTGGTCAGAAAAGATTTTACCAACGATCAAGCGCGAGGTGTTTTACAAAAAAGATTGAAAGACAACAATTGGAAATCAATGAATCACATGATAAGTTTCAAACTTATGAAGTTCCCGATCGAATTCAGGGTTTAGGTACTTTATACCATTCAAGATTCTCAATATTCTGATGTACTACAGAATTAGTTTAAGTCGAAGTCCGTGGCTGGTGTATGTAAAAAAGTGATTGTCTAAAAGGTTGAAAAACAACCATTTCAAATAATGAATCACACCATCAAGCTAATTCAAACCTCATAAGTTCCAGAGCTGATTCAGCATGCAACAATCGTAATACTCTTGATGGTCCTTGTTACCGGTGACTATGAACTGGCTGTGCACGCGCAAAAATTCAAGCTTATTTGTCTTGCGGGAATTGTCAACATTTGATAAAGCTCTAAAAATTAAAAGTTCCCAAAACATGTGTGCTAGAAAACCGAGACTTTTTTTTCTTCTACAAATGACATGTTAACAATACCGCAGGAATCGCTAAAATAAAAATACGGATGGTATTAAGCATTAAGCTTTATTAAAAGTTTAATTTTAATTTAATTTTAATTTATTTTATAAGTCTACAAATAAAAAAGCAGTATTTATATGTTTTTAAAAACATTACATAGATATAGTCACATGAACATATATTATTAACAAAGAGTCCGTAGCGGTCTGGTAACTTCTACAAAGAATGGAACTGAACAAAAAATCATCCATGGAACTGAAAAAAAATCATCCATTCTGATGAGGAAAACAACAAATAATAAAACAAACAAAATGTTATACCAGTGTTTACACAGCAATTTAATCTGGGCTGGCCGTGTTCAGATATGCGAAGTCCTCATATATGTGTGCACACATGTGTGATACGCTGTAAGTCTTCATACTTGTACATTGTAAAATTTTACCTCACAATAACTCGGTCAATTTTTTCAAATATCAAACCTAAATTTGGTATAAAAGTGTGTTATAGTCATATGAATAACATATTATCTGATGTGGCTTACTTTTTTAGATTAATTTAAGAGATGCTTCACGATCTGTAGATTTCTTTACACACGTGTGCAACGCCGCCGATCGTACAAATTCAATTTGTCATTTCTTTGTCATTTTTCAAATATCGACCTGAAGTTTGGTACATAGGTATATCATAGGTCATAAGAATAACATATCTTCTGATGTCGCTTACATTATAGGTGTATCTTGGAGGTAAAGTCTTAAGACACTTCCCGATCTGCAGTTATAATCACTCACGTGTGCAACGCCACTGATCGTAAAAATTCAATTCATCATAACTCGGTGGTTTTTTCATATATCTAGCTCAACTTTGGAGTATATGTCAATAAAAGTCATATCAATAACATATCCTCTGATGTTGCTTACTTTAGTAAGAATTTTTAAAGATAATGTCTGGTTACGCTTTCTTAACTGTACAGGTTAAAACACGTGCCACGCCGCAGATCGTAAAATTTAATTCATCGTAACTTGGTCAATTTTTCAAATATATCAAATTGAAATTTGGTAAAAAGGTGTATAATAGTCATATTAACAACATATCTTCTGATGTCGATTACTTTATTCAGTATTTTTATAGATTTTGTCTGGCGACGCTTGGTAAGGAGGACCCCTGACACCAGACTTAGACATTTTGAAAGATAGATGTCTGGTGTGGGACCAGATTGCACTCCTATATAAAAACGTGGAATTCTCTGATATCGTTTGGTGTCTGAGAGTTTTGTGATGCTGACAACAAAATTCTACTATGACATATATCTATACGCTCTTATTGTCGCCAACAGATGCTAAATTCCATCAGTTAAGTCCATGGTTTTCAATCGTTCAAAATTACCACCTGAGCGAACACCATTTTTGTAGGTCATGGGAGTGACTGTCACTGATCAACAAACTGTACTGATCTTGATCCCATGACCTACAAAAATGGCATTTTGTCATAGTAGAATTTTGAACGATTGGACACAGAGGACTCTACTGATGGAAAATAGCAGTTGTTGGTGACAATAAGAGCTGAAAAATGTGTAAGTCTGGTGTCAGGGCCAGAGGAAACTCCGGCTAGTACTAGCCTCGTCTATCATCAATACACCAAGGTTCCCTACTCTGTCCCCTAGTAAAATTACCCAATTCCAGCAAACTAGATTGCAAACGGCATATGTATGCAGTTTAATGTCGGTACAGTGTTTCGACCATATATTTCTACGCATCATGAACTGTTGCAACCGGCATAGGCGAATGTAACCCAACTAACTTGATGATTGTTCATGTCCTGATATGGTCATGTTAGACACCCCAGTTTCATTTTCAAGCTGGTTTGGGGATTGGTTCATCACATTAAGAAGCCAATCAGCGCTAACGTTGAGGTCACTTAAGTTAGAGAAAATAGATGTCTCCGTTCAGATCTCTGATCGTCAGCCTGACAGCTTGAAACTGAACTCGGGTGTCCGACATGATAATGTTATGACATGAACAATCATACATGTAAGTTTGTTTCTTATCGTAGAAACACTGTACTGACATTAAAAAGCATACATGCAGTGTGTTTTGCGCTACCCACTAAGGATTTAGCATGTCATCCCAGCACAGTGTCCAACCAACTGAAATTCAACCATTTTTCTGTGTTTCATGAAGTCTACCAAAAATTATATTGCATGATTTATGGTACATTGTACCAGTAAATCCTATATCAAGTGAAAGAAAACATATGTTCCTGTCAATCTAGATTGTTCCCTGTATGATATTATGAACGGTTATGGAAAAACACATGTTTTTTGGAACAGGGTCATGTTACTAGGGGAACAGAGTTAATGACCTTGTTTATATTACTGGTGTATCGAAAAACAAAGCTAGTACTTGTGCCTTGTTGGGTAGTCCGAAATAACCACAGGTACTAGCCTCATCTGTCAATACACCCTTGAGTTGACAACAACAATTATCTTTTTCTAAGTCATGGTAGAGAAATAAGTTTGTATGTTGTTCAGATCTTTGCATCGAAAAAAATGTCACAAACATGAACAATTGTACTTGTTTTTCTTTGACATGCTATTAGTTAATATAAAGGACCAGGATCCCCTTGGAGGGTCTCAAGCAACCATACCTACAGTAAGATGACATGCTATTAGTTAATATAAAGAACCAGGATCCCCCTGGAGGGTCTCGAGCAACCATACCTACAGTAAGTTGACATGGTATGAGTTAATATAAAGTACAGGGATCCCCCTGGAGGGTCTCATGCAACCATACCTACAGTAAGTTGACATGGTATGAGTTAATATAAAGTACAGGGATCCCCCTGGAGGGTCTCATGCAACCATACCTACAGTAAGTTGACATGCTGTTAGTTAACATAAAGGACCAGGATCCCCCTGGAGTGTCTCAAGCAACCATACCTACAGTAAGTTTACATGCTATTAGTTAATATAAAGGACCAGGATACCCCTGGAGTGTCTCAAGCAACCATACCTACAGTAAGTTGACATGCTATTAGTTAATATAAAGGTCCAGGATCCCCTTGGAGGGTCTCAAGCAACCATACCTACAGTATGTTGACATGCTATTAGTTAATATAAAGGACCAGGATACCCCTGGAGTGTCTCAAGCAACCATACCTACAGTAAGATGACATGCTATTAGTTAATATAAAGAACCAGGATCCCCCTGGAGGGCCTCAAGCAACCATACCTACAGTAAGTTTACATGCTATTAGTTAATATAAAGGACCAGGATACCCTTGGAGGGTCTCAAGCAACCATACCTACAGTAAGATGACATGCTATTAGTTAATATAAAGAACCAGGATCCCCCTGGAGTGTCTCAAGCAACCATACCTACAGTAAGATGACATGCTATTAGTTAATATAAAGAACCAGGATCCCCCTGGAGGGTCTCGAGCAACCATACCTACAGTAAGTTGACATGGTATGAGTTAATATAAAGTACAGGGATCCCCCTGGAGGGTCTCATGCAACCATACCTACAGTAAGTTGACATGGTATGAGTTAATATAAAGTACAGGGATCCCCCTGGAGGGTCTCATGCAACCATACCTACAGTAAGTTGACATGCTATTAGTTAACATAAAGGACCAGGATCCCCCTGGAGTGTCTCAAGCAACCATACCTACAGTAAGTTGACATGGTATGAGTTAATATAAAGTACAGGGATCCCCCTGGAGGGTCTCATGCAACCATACCTACAGTAAGTTGACATGGTATGAGTTAATATAAAGTACAGGGATCCCCCTGGAGGGTCTCATGCAACCATACCTACAGTAAGTTGACATGCTGTTAGTTAACATAAAGGACCAGGATCCCCCTGGAGTGTCTCAAGCAACCATACCTACAGTAAGTTGATATGCTGTACAACTTTATTGACATAATCTTTTATCCAAACTCAGAAACAAAAAATTCTCACTAACGTTTCCTTCTTGATTGTATGAATCATGATATGAAGCATGATTTCTAGATTACATTTGTGGAATTCCATTCCTATGTATGAGTACTCAACAGCTGCTATTTTCATTAAACATTTAGTTCAACATTGTTTACATGTATCTCTGAATTGTACAAACCTCATTCTTTGTGTTTTCCCAATTGTATGGGGGATGGGGGCATATACTACCAATGACTGTCCTATCCAATTATATTCAGTGCCTTGACTTAACCGACTTAATTTCTTAACAGATTCTCATCAAAGTTTATATAAAGGTCACATATGAGAATACTTTGGATCACTTAAGGCTACCAAGGTCACTTACAATTTTAGGTCAGTAAATGCTATTTTGTCAACAAATTCATGATCATCAGTCTACTGACTTCATTTAACAGATTTTCAATCATTCTTTATAAAGATTATTTTGTGTATCAGGTTCCCAAAGTCAATTTCAAGGTCACAGTTGAAACCGGTTGAAATGTGATATACATATCATTGATCTTTATACGATAATGTTTACCTGTAAAGGCGGGGACCAATCTGGTGGACGTGTTGGTGACAAAGAAACAGGAAGTGGTTGTGAGGGAGATGGGTGGAATCATGAGTCCAATATGGCCTAAATATATAAAGGACTGTTCAACTTTAATGGTGAGTATCAGCTGTTAGTAGTCAATGCTACAAAGTCTTCTACTTTTATAGTTGTCACCAGGTGACATCAATTAACTCTATCATTTAATCATATATTTCTACTCAATTACTGTGTCACACATTAGTTTCCAGACCATACTTTTACTACATGTGGTGGCATTTGATTATCTAGGTCATGTTCAAAGATTTGTGTAATCCACAATTCATATGAATGATTTCACTAGGTTTTTCATTTTCATGATTACAGATTTGTAATTTTACAAATTCAGAAATTAGAGTTTGCTTTCGGATGTTTAATATCCTTGTTTTGCCATGAATATTCAATTGACTTTCAGTTTATGGTGGACATGTCTAACCGATTGCAAGTGGCCGCAGGTTGTATCCTGCTTCTGACCACCCTCAGTGACCGGTCACTTGTCACAGACAAGGTCCTCATCCTGCTCAACAAAATGTGAGTCATAGTTTGGTTAGACACATCATGGAAGAGTTACTGTAGATCTATATGAACATTTACACAGATCAGATGCCTACACATAATATCTTCCTTTTCCTCCTTTCCCATATCTATGTGTCATTTTCAGAGGAGTTACATACATTTTCTCTTAGAATAGATACATTAATATTGCAATGCATGTCAAAATGCCAACACTGAACACATCTCTTCATCACAACGTGCAAAATTTGACCTCTTCATTTTCAAACTTTTGGACTTGGGATTTATTTAATTATGAGTTTTTGTTTAACTTACCTGTATCACTTATCCGTCATATTAACCTGTTTGACTTAATGCTATCATGTGTTTTATTAATCTTAAAAAACTATGACATTAAAATGTTTGAGATTTTGATTTTACCTGTATATTAATTATTTACTTGTACATATGTATATAATTAATAACTTACCTGTCGTATGTTTGACTTATCAATTATATGTGTATGATTCAGAGATCTGCCGACCTGTATGAGTAGATTTGAATTTGAGTCACTGTTCCGACTGGATGACGTCTTAAAACAGTCAAAGCTGCAGGTGAGCGTGATTGAAGTGAGTGCCCACACAGGACAGGGACTAGGTGACGTGCTCGACTGGTTAGCACACAACACCACAGGAGAGGCCAGCTGATGTTCACCATTGTAGAATGTTACCTTCATTATTTTATATCAAAATCAGTTAGATGTAGATAGTTCCTAATAAGGAGTCACTTAAGTTCTTTCTGTTTGTGTTAAAATGACTACCCACATAGGTTTTGGTGATTTGATCCAGACTAAAATTTGTTTTAAGTTACTTCATGTCAAATATTGTACTGTATACAGTTGAGTTCATAATGAAGAGAAACCAAGATTTTACCTGATAAATACTGTGTTTTATTTAATGCAGTTGGATATAAATAAAAAAAATTCCTTATTGATCAGTTAAAGTAGTTACAGATAGGACGGATAGGTTACTTTAATATCTTGGTTGAAACATTTGTTACTTTTATTTTAATGGTAAATTAGGAAAAAACAGATTAATATGATGAAATGTTTAAAAATTCAGAAAATGAGTAATTATACTGAAAAGAGCACTTAGCATTTTTATTGATAAAAATAACCTTAGTTTTCAAAAACAAATAATTCAGAAAATAAACTGACGAATTTCATTTAACTTACTCTCAAACTACACTTATCAGCAATGCAAACATTAGGTATTATCTTAGAAATATGTAAGCTGTTTTGCAAGGAAATTAGAAATATAAAATTTCCTCTGTATTTCTGATTTTTTTTTATAATTATCTCCCTTATCTGAAAAAAATAAATAAAAAAATGTGCACATTCAAACTAAACTTAAGCTTCATGAAATCAGAAGGCCACAGTGGTAACCATTTAACCAGGAATCACATCTACGATGCATATGGAAAGAAGTTGTACTTAACATTTTTGCTAGGCGGCATGGTAGTCTAGTGGTACGTGGTTGGGCAGTGCTAGAATTGTAGAATGCTAGCTGTGAGCGCCGAAATGGCAGCACAGCCTGTATATGCTACCCAGGGAGTTGAGAAAGATGTTGGCTGGTTGCAAAGGCCCTATAACCACGGATAATAAATTGTGAGCTGCTTTAAGACGACCTACCAAATAGGTTGTAATAGAGCGGTATATAAGAACCTCCAATTATTAATTATTATTATAGTCTGGTTTCCAGCTTATTCATACGTCTAATGCTTGTTCTGGGTAAGGTAAGATAGAATTGAAGAAATACACCACTTTGTTACAGACTAGGTCTACGTACACATCTTACAGACACTCAGAGGTTGCATTTGGTAACCTTCTGGGTATAGTTGTTTAAAGATCAATAGTAAGTTGGGTTTCATCGCTTACAGTACTTGCTATTGTAAATGTACAGTATATTTGATCAAAAGTTTTGTAAGTTTCACAGTATAAAGCAGGGACATTTTGTTGTTTATTTATGTTCAATTGCTCAAGGTAACCAGTGCAACCATTAATCTTAATCCAGCAAATGTGTGTATAACTTCAGGTTGACTTGGGTTAACATGTACTAGCTGGCTGCAAACGTTTATCTTAACTTCAGTGATCTGTGAAAGTACAAACAGAAAATAGCAATGAATATCTCCTGCTACACAGCTTTGTTTTGATTCACTCTTACCTTTAAGAACTTGGATAGGTTCACTCTTACCTTTAAGAACTTGGATAGGTTCACTCTTACCTTGAAGAACTTGGATAGGTTCACTCTTACCTTCAAGAACTTGGATAGGTTCACTCATACCTTGAAGAACTTGGATAGGTTCACTTTTACCTTTAAGAACTTGGATAGGTTCACTCTTACCTTTAAGAACTTGGATAGGTTCACTCTTACCTTGAAGAACTTGGATAGGTTCACTCATACCTTGAAGAACTTGGATAGGTTCACTCTTACCTTTAAGAACTTGGATAGGTTCACTCTTACCTTTAAGAACTTGGATAGGTTCACTCTTACCTTGAAGAACTTGGATAGGTTCACTCTTACCTTGAAGAACTTGGATAGATTCACTCTTACCTTTAATAACTTGGATAGGTTCATTCTTACCTTTAAGAACTTGGATAGATTCACTCTTACCTTGAAGAACTTGGATAGATTCACTCTTACCTTTAAGAACTTGGATAGGTTCACCTTACCTTTAAGAACTTGGATAGGTTCACTCTTACCTTGAAGAACTTGGATAGATTCACTATTACCTTGAAGAACTTGGATAAATTCACTCTTACCTTGAAGAACTTGGATAGGTTCACTCTTACCCTGAAGAACTTGGATAGATTCACTCTTACCCTGGAGAACTTGGATAGATTTACTCTTACCCTGAAGAACTTGGATAGGTTCACTCTTACCTTGAAGAACTTGGATAGGTTCACTCATACCTTGAAGAACTTGGATAGGTTCACTCTTACCCTGAAGAACTTGGATAGATTCACTCTTACCCTGAAGAACTTGGATAGGTTCACTCTTACCTTGAAGAACTTGGATAGTTTCACTCTTACCTTGAAGAACTTGGATAGGTTCACTCTTGCCTTGAAGAACTTGGATTGGTTCACTCTTACCTTGAAGAACTTGGATAGGTTCACTCATACCTTGAAGAACTTGGATAGGTTCACTCTTACCTTTAAGTACTTGATAGATTCACTCTTACCTTGAAGAACTTGGATAGATGCACTCTACCTTGAAGAACTTGTATAGGTTCACTCATACCTTGGTGCAAATGCCAGGTAATACTAATCAATCATTATACTACCAGTATGTAGCTGTGATTATTAAGGTGCAGTGATAAGAATAATTTAAACTCCATATAATACAGAAATGTTTCCATGCAGGGGTGTACTTTCAGTTCGATAAAAATGAAATATTTTGACTATAGTGTAAGTGTTGCTAAATATTACTGTAGTTGTAGGTCTAGGACTATAAATAAATCAATTTAAGACTGATGTTTTCACTTGAATTGACCTCAGGATGTTATATTTTATTGTCTTGTTAGATTGCTTGCCTAATGGTAGAGCGAAGTTTGTGTTAGTATTTATGAGACTGTTTTAATCACATGCAATTCCATTGTGTTCATTCCATTATTGATATGTATGATTTAATGTACCACAGTTCCCATCAGCATTATTTGCTTCAGGTTTCCACTTTGATCTGTAAAGATTTAGATATCTGTACAAAGTAATTAGAGTTACTTACAGTTTTTACCTAGTTAAGGATGACTTTTGTTGTCTGAGGATATGTATGCATTACTCTCTCTTTTACCTGTTGCTCTATGACATTTTAGATGTATTTGATTGACGGGCTAGAACAATTATTAAAAGTGTTCATCTCTCACTTCTCAATCTTTAATGTCCTGCTCTCCCCCACCTTATTTGTCATAATCAATGTTCACCTATGTATACACATTTGCTGTAATGAATGTGTTTGCTATAAAACTGTTCATTACAGGTTTGCTTGGTATATGCTGTTGAAAATATGTTTGCTGCATACTGTTGTTTGCAGTATAAATGTGGTATACAGGATTGTTAGAGGTTTAAATGTGGTATACAGGATTGTTAGAAGTATAAATGTGATATACAGGTTTGTTAGAGGTATAAATGTGGTATACAGGATTGTTAGAAGTATAAATGTGGTATACAGTTTGTTAGAGGTATAAATGTGGTATACAGGATTGTTAGAAGTATAAATGTGGTATACAG